GAACATTCTGATCATTCCTTGGGGCAGCAATATTTTAAAACCTGTGTATTTCCTACTTTGCATAAATGTGCTGATGCACAAAATAGAGGTAGCTAGGCTCACTCCGGAGAAAAAGAAAAATCTTGACAGGACAGAGAGTATGATGGTTGTTTCAGTATACAGCTAATGAGGAACAATAACTGTCTTTGATCCATTAATTTGCGTATATAAACTATAGTATATGTGAGCCATAAGCCATTGTAATGAACTGGCTTGTGGAGTATGGGGCAAAACTGAACAGCTTTATATATCATATACTCTACACTTCAAAAGCTAAGGCAGCTTCTCTTTTGGCTCAAGAGGGAGAGATTCATGTGAAGGAGCAAGAGGATCTGAATTCTAACCCCACCATTGCCTGGAAGTTCTGATTGACTAGTTGGTATAAAGACAACTGAAGTTTTAGGTAGTCATGGGGTTGTATCAAGAGATTACACATGATTTGTCTGCAGGGAGCCATTGAGTAATCTCTCGCACAAACCCTTAAGGAGAATGAAAAAGGAGTTGGCCCAAGTAATGAATCTATGCCATAGCTAAAAGCAGCCTCCATGCTTTCTGCAGTGTATGCTCTTTCACAAGCAGTGAGCATGTGATTTTATGAAGACAGACTTGGCAATAAAGAAAACCTATTTAAATGGTTACAAAATAAGAAGCATGGGCAGTCAGATCCTGGCACTAACTGATTGGCCAGCTCTCCCTAGTGAATTATGTAGATGTAACCCCTCCTGCTCACTAGCCCAGTGTGAGGTTATTCAGCTTTATTCTGAAAAAACATAGAACAGGATCACAATTCAGCAGACCCTCCTCTCTGCATGCAACTTGCATGCTGCTTCTAGCTCAGTCCCTGCTCAGACCCTGCTCTGGGCAGAGGTTACAGCATATAACACAGCCCCCTGACAACATGTTCCAACTCCCACAGTAACTTAAGCCCCACAACAGCCAAGTCCATGTTCTCCCTTTGTATCACTTAAACTCCTCTCAGGGTGCTTGTGACCGGGCGAGCCAGCCCTGCGCTGAACTCACAGCGTTTAGCCAGGTTACCCTGGCTAAAGGAGCCCTGCCCCCGCAACCCTGCTGGGCATGCTCAGTTTGTAGCCCAAGTATAAAGGCCTGGGGAGATGCTCGGTCTTGGCTGACTGCTGGAGGGGAAGGACCTCAGAAGGGAGCTCTTGACCAACACCAGCCAGCTGCTCAGAGGGAAGACAGCAGAGATTCTGGTGCCCGTTAGTATGTCTCCATGCCTATCTACAAGGGAGAAGCAGAGCCTGCTGTGGGCAGAGGGTACATCCTAGCAGGAAGTTCTCCCAACATGCTGCAGTTTGTAGTCCACAACTCATAGTTCCCAGGCTGCTGTTGAAGCACATTGGACCTTAGGCTACGTAGATAAAATGGAAAAAGGACCTTTACTTGCAAATAACAAACTAATTGGTTAATTAACCCCTGGATTAGTTCTCTGCCTCCATTTGCCTCACATGAAGGATGGGAGGCTTAATTCCAGGCTCACCAAGAGGAGGGGGAAAGGAAGAGGGCAGTTGCCCCAGGGAATCTAAAGGGGCCAGGGTTCCCAGTCACCAGCTCTGCTGCAGCAGTGGCTGGAGTCCTGGCCTCTTTAAAATAGCCAGTGGAGCACCGTGAAGCATGGTTGGGCCAGCGGGAGGGGGCACTGTGCCATTTGAGTGATGCTGGGGCCTGGCTGCCCTAGCCTTGCTCCTTCCTCCCAAGGCCCTACTCCTTCCGGAAGCATGGGCACCGCCCTCATTGCCCAAGGGCCTAGCAAACCTGTTGGACCCTGTTTAAATCTAAAGTGCGATTCCACTTTTGGGATAAGCAACTATGAAAATGGCAGTTGGGATCCTGCATTTCCTGTCTCCTTTTGACCCCATATCAAAAACCCTGTTTCCGGCTGCTCGCCCTGCAAACTCCCCTGGGATCTGAGAGTTGAACTGAGGGTTTTTGTTCCCAGGAATCATTTCAGTAAATATCTCCAAGCAAATGTATGCTATTTCCTGTGTGGGATAACATTTGCCAATCATTTAAAAAGCTGCAAAGATGTATGTGCAATAGCTTTACAAATCTCTAAAGCTCTTGATTTCAGCGGGGACTGGGAATGAACCCTAATACTGCAGTTTCACAAATGCACACAAAAAGCAAACAGGCAAAATTTACTTGCAAATTATTCTCTGTGGACCAATTCCACCAGATTAGCTTTCCCTAACGTGAACCTCCAGATATTTTACAAGAATTCTACACCCTTATCTCCTATACCCAGAGCCACTTCCTCTTGCAGTCCTTTTTGGTCTGAAGAGTAGGAATGTCCCTTGTGCCACTGGCAAGCTAAGTGTCAGCTCTGGCCAAAGACACAGACATCAGCTAAAAATTGACAAAACCACAGACAAACCCAGCTCACTCGTGTTACCATAGCTCCAAGTAGATGTTATATGTATAAGAATGTGTTTAATGTTTAAACTCCATGAAAAACTAGTGAGATGTTGCATGCATTGTTCACATTCCTGTCACCTATCATAATGTAATAGCAAACATTTATACAGGCAGTCCCTGAGTTATGCAGCTGACTTGGGGATGCCTCGGGTTCTTAAGTTGAATCTGTATGTAAGTCAGAACTGGCGCCCAGATCCAGCCGCTGTTGAAACTGATCAGCGGCTGATTCCAGAAAGCCGGGGGCAGAGCAACTCTGCCTAGGACTTCCTGTAGTCAGCCGCTGATCAGTTTCAGCAGCGGCTGAATCTGGAGCCAGTTCCGACTTGCATACAAATTCATCTTAAGAACAAACCTATAGTCCCTATCTTGTACGTAACCCAGGGACTGCCTGTACTTGTGTTAGCGGCAGTCTTCAAGAGATGCCCTGCCTCAGATATGCCTGCAGAGCCCCCTTGCTGTCAGAAGGGTTGCACAGGTGTAACTAATTGGAATTTATCAAGCCATTCAGTCACTGCTGCTCCCAATGGAAGAGATCCCAGCCCTCTGGCTCTATATGCCTACCCAGAGTATTGAGCTGGAGAAGGGCATGTGTGTTGCTAAATACTGCTGATAAGAGGCAGGTTTAGTATGGTTACGAATCACATGCTGATATTTTGCACTTCAACTGAATCATCAAGGAGTAGTGGGGTTCATACCCCACTCATGACAATTGCTGGGAGATCTTTAAGGAACATGTGTGGTCAGCTGCCTGTTTTCTTTCTTCTCTGACACTGTGTAAGGAGTCTAGCCCCATAAAATGCATGGAGATCCTCCATAGTTGGTGGGATTGTGAAAGAGCAATTGACAAAGAAATGTCAAGGAAGTAATAGTCCCGGGATTAGGAACTCTGCTGAAAAACAGGTGAGGGCATGCAGGGTTTCTTGGCAAGCTCCACAGACCCCTTTGTTCAGAAACATGTTCTGAGCTAAGTCAACTTTCATAGTTTCCTGTACAATTACATAGACATGCCTTCAGGGATCCAGGCGCTCTCTTATCCTGCTGCCCACTGCATCCAGCCTTTATAGACAGAGAATAGAGAGCAGGAAGATCTGCTACAAAGAGTTTTCAGAGTGTGACAGGTTCTGAAAGCTACCCAGCCAACAGGGATCCTTGTCATTCAGACATGATCTGAAAACATACCCCCTGTGTGCAGTGCATGAATGTCAGTAATCTCATGGGAAAATGCATCCTCCATTGTACAACAGGCAGCATACTGATTTGTTTTCACACCCGTCCTAGAAGTGACTGCATTTTACTTTTATGTCTGATTCTGTAAGTCATTTTTAAGTGAGGGGAAACTTGGGAGAATGCAAGACAAATTAGACTCCTGAAAGGAGGACAGTCATCTAGAAAGATGAAAGCTGCTGCCCCAGCCCATAGAGGCCTCTGGAAATGATACAGCTTCAAGTCGACCTGACCATAAATCTGAAGTTGGGTAGAAAAGCAGAGTTGTTCTCTCTGAAGTGTTCCACCTAAGAAAAAAGCCACCACCTCATGTTCAACAATGCAATGGTAAGCTCCAGAGTCAAGCAAACATGCTCTCCAAGGGCCCTTTTCAAACACATGCCTAGCTTTCAGCACATATGTAGACTCATTGAAATCAACAGGGCTATTCGTGTGCATAAGCACCTGAGTTGGGACCAGTTGTTAAAACGCTGCAGCGTCTTCAAGGCCTACTGAACTAACTCTGCACTAGATCTCCAAATAGCAGCTGTAAGTGCCACTTGGACTCAGTTAGCAAGGAAGAAGGTGTGATGGCACGTCGGGTACCCCCCGACCTTGCACCCTGTCTGCAGCGAGATGAGACTCCACTAGGATATAGGAGTCAGGGATATAGGATACAGTCAGGGCCAGGCAGCCTTAGACCCTTGGGGCAGGGGTATATAGGCCCCTGAACCCCCAGCGCTCGGTTCAGTCTCCTCTCCATGTTTTCCCAGCCAAGACTGCCCCTTCTCCAAGCCACACCCTTCCTTTGTTCAGACCCTTCCCTGGTCAGGTAAGAACTGGTTGGGCCATAGTCTACATGACATGGAGGCCCTCAGGGCGACCCCCCTGCTGGGCAGCGCTTACAGACGTGGGCCAGTAGGGGTCACCCACGGTCCAAGCATACCAACCAGTGAATGCCCAACCAGCATGTACAGTACACCCCACTACATCACAGAAGGATCCTCCTCTTCGATGCAGAGCTTGCCATTATGATCCAGGCTTTGTCATGGGACTCCTGTGACACTCTATCCAGGAATGATTTGTGGAGGCCAAGCTGGAACTAGAACATCTGCAGATGCTATGTAATTCGAGTGTCTGAGGTGCTGCATGGATCCAACTGTGCTGTCACTGAAAGAGGATTCACTTGCCCTTAACCCCAGTTATGCTTTGGCATAGCCATCCCAGGATAGAAATGCCATACTAGAAAAGTCAACTTGTCCTCCACAGAGCCTAGAGTCACTAGCTGAGAATTATCTGGGGAGGCTCTTTGTGTGTTTCAGTGGTCAACGAACCATTGTCCGCCTCAGACCAGAAGGCGTTTGGGCTGGGAGTGCGGAGTCGCAGCAGAGCAGTGAGTGAGGAGTGTGGGGTCTCGGAGGAGGCAGCAAGTGAGCAGGCTGGAGATGTGGGGTGTCGGCAGGATGGTGAGTGTGTGTGCTGGAGGGGCAGGGTCTCAGTGGAAGGTGTGGGGGGGGGGGACACTTGCTTTCAGGCATGGCCTCCCGCTGCTCCCATTGGCCAGATTCTACGCGCTGCTGCTTCCCTTCCCCCAGCTGGAGGAACAGCCTCACAATACGCACTCTCTGGAGGCTTTCCCCAGATCCTGGCTGATGGGAGCAAAGGGGAAAGCCTCCAGGGAGTGCGTATTGTGAGGCCGTTCCACCAATCGGGGGAAGGGAAATAGCAGCACTCGGAGCCGTTTCTGGCTCCACTCCTTCCCTGCGAGCTGGATCCAGCAGGGAGCCTCGGGGCTTCTCCCGTTCCCTCCCCTCCTCCCGGTTTGCCACCGAAATATTTGAATTTTTGAGATATTTTAGTGCTTTATGAGGATAACAGGACAGAGTATTTTAAATTGGGACTATTCCAGAAAATCCAGGAGGTATGGTTGGTGTGTATAGCCTTTTACTGAGGCTCTCTAGAGACAGCTTTCCCAGATACTGGCCTGCCACAGACTCTGAAACACTGTACTCAGTGTGCTTGTAACTTACTGGGCCACAACATGCTTGTCAAGACAGGGCAGGGCTGGCTGGCTGCTGTTGAGTCACAATTGGAAAAACAATGTGTGGGAACCACTACCAGTCTTGCAGTGCCATTCTAATGAGCACCATCAACGTGTTCAAACACCTGTCTGCAGAGCCAGAAATACCAGTGGAATACAATTGTTTGTGATCGGCTCTCCCATATTGAAATGACTGGGAGGACAATGAAGCCTGAAGGATCAGCATTGTTAGGCTATGTCTAGATTACAGAGTTTTGTCTTGAAGTCTAGAGGTAACCTTGCTGAATTGTAGTAGGGTTGGTCAATGTGCAGTTTCAGGCATCAGACCTATGTATTTATTCACACACCTTTTGACATCCATTAGCCCTTCCTTTAAATTTGGGTTGTGTTGTGAAAGTCAGATACAGTTGGGTAAGAGGCTAATAGTGCTGGCTGTGTCTAGGGAGGAGTCCCAAGCAAAATTTTAGGGTTGAAATTCTCATCACTGCTCTGGTCTCTGTACTTGCCATAAAAGACTCCCTCTGCATAAGAGTTGGGGAAGACTGCCCTCTAAGGAGGTTTCTTTATATAGGGAGTGTGATAGTGGTAGCGATGTGCTGAGGATGGGGCAAAGCTGAGGAATTTAAAGTAACTCTGCAGTCCAGGGAGGATGCCTCTAGACCAGTCCAGCATTGCAAGGGTGCAGAGGTGACATAAAGCCACCATAGAACCTCACAATTCTTGGATTGTGAGTTCTTGCTGGATCTTTTTGTGCATCCCATCCTGTTAGCATATTTCTAAAACTGATTTGTATTCCATGGAAAGCTCTGCTTCTTTGTACTAAATGACTGATTTAGCCTCTCATTTACACTCCAGATTCCCAAAAACAGTCCAGTAAATCACTTCTGTCTTAAGGCTATCACTAGAGTTGGTCAGGAAATAGAAATTGCTTGGTACTTTTTGCAGAGAGGGATTTCCAGGAAAATTCTATTTCAAGAGAACCAAAATAATTTTTTTTAGCTTGTTGGCTACAAGCCTGCCAGGTTCCCACTGGGCTTATAGACTGCATGGATTCTCAGCTAGGGAGCCATCAAGCTAGATAGCAGACCATCCTGAGGATCTAGTCAGCTTGTGGACCGTGACAGCTCTCTGGAAGTGAGAGCCTACATATCTGTTTATCTGGTTTCATTGAAGCTGTTGATAGAATTGGTACGTGTTGGTTCTGCCAAATCAGGCAGAGTATTTTTGACCAGCAGTAGCCAGAAGTCTTTCTGATTCATATCTGACTGTTGGGTAGAGCTGGGCACAAAACAGTTTCCTCACATACTCAAGAGTTCAAAATTGGTTCCTATTTTAAATCAAGATGAAAAGTCAGAATCTCAAACAAACTTTGAGGGGGAGGCATAAGGATCTTGCACAAAAAGGGGGTTTTGTGCAAAAAGGAAACGTTCACACTGCACGTTTTTGCGCAAAAACCCCTTGCGCAAAAACGGTTCAGAATATATTATGCAAATGAAGCATGACAAAATGCTAATCAACGCTTCATTTACATTTCCTCTTTCGGCAAAAGCCATAGTGTAGACATAGCCTGTGACTTTTCACATGAATCCATGAGAACAGTGATGGAAAAGTCTTCAGTTGGTCAAAAGAATGAAATAAAATAGAGGGGCAAGTGGACCATCCCATCTCCCATTTCTGCCCATGTGGTATTGCTGGGATATGTAATTCACACTCTAATCCAGATCCTGACTGGAAACCATTTATAAGTGGAGCAATAATTTTGGCTTCCTCCCCCTTTTTGTTTTTTTTTGTTTTGTTTTGTTTTTCAGGTGGACCCATTGCCTTGAATTAGGAACTGAAGTAGAAGGAAATTTGAAAGAACCATGATGTCTCTTGGTACCAGAAAAGGTAATTTATTTTGTTGATCTCTAAACTGCTTTGTAGCTCTCTCCATCCTTACAATCATACTATTTGCTCTGCTAAATTAGCTCCAGCATCATATTACATTTTAGCTACCCCAGTACACAAGCACCCTTCCTGAATACCCAAAATATCCCTCCCTGTACAAACACACATTTCTCCCGCAAACCCCCACCCCCTATGTCCCTACTAGCATTCCCCAAATAATCCTCCTAGCACACATGCACCACCTAGCACTCCTCATATACCCCCTACCTGGACATGTGCACCCTTCCAAAGACTCCCCCAGTATGAATGCATTCCTCCATCACCTCCCCAAATACCCCTCTCAGTATGTACACCCCTTGCTGCACTCCAAATGCCCACAGCACACACATACCATATCCCTGAAATTGTCCTCAGTATCTATGCACTCTCTCCACAGCCCACAAATACCCCAATACACTTATGCCCCTCCCCAGAATGCATCAAATACCCCGTGCAGTTTCTGCACCCTCCCAAATGCAACCCCATAATACACACATCCCTCCCAGTACTCGCACTGTCCAAATATCCCTCCCAGCACACTCACAGCCTTCCTGAAACTCCCAACTGTACCCCTTGTCCACAGGCAGAGTCTTTGTTTTGGGCATCTGCACTGGGGTAAGCCTAACCGGCTCTGCACTCAGGTTTGTGCTGGTTTAACCACTGTGGCACCGCTTGCACCCCAACTAACAGTTTCACTGGTGTTGGTGCAAAAATTGTGCGTGGAGTAGGCTGAACCTTCTGGCACTTTGTTGCTGGTTTTCAACTGGAAAAGATGACAGCTCATTAGCATCAGGCATTCCTCACACCTTCTCATTTTTCACCTTTTTCTCCTGAGATAACGGTGTGCATGCAAGGGGGGGAGGCATCTATTTTGAAAGGGGATTTTCCCCATGAAAATTCCTATTTACACCCAGCTGTATTCAGCCCCTTGAAAATAGTACTTAGCAATCTGCAAGATCAGCCCATGTTTTGATATCCCCCCCCCCGTCTAGCTTTCTGCAGCACCTAACACTTTCCCTATCTTCTCCCTAAGCCTTTCTGGAACACCCTGTCCAAGCCTATCATACCTAACCCCAAAACGCTTTCTCTCACCTGGTCTCCCACTGATGCTGCAGCCTTTCCAACCCAGGACATTTTCACATCTCCTGTTGGAATGTTTGAATTAATGTTGTTAGCACTTATTCCAGTGATTATTGTAAGACTCCGGGTAGATGAGAGGAAAAAGCCAATGGAAAATAAAGAGATTTTTCACTGAGTAGCACTGAAGGAAAAGATCTTATAACAGTAATGGGAGATCTCTGGCCCACAGGCGCATGTGGCACACCTGCCTCTGCCCCCCCTCGCCTCTTACACCTCCTCCTCCTCTCCCTCCCCCTCCCAGCACTTACAGAGCACTGTGAATTAGCTGGTTCCTGCTCCATCCCCACTTATCAGTTGATTCTTGGCCTTCAAGCTCTTGGAGGGAGGGGGAGAAGCAGGGATGGGGCTTGAACCAGCCAATTCAGAGCACTCTGGGGATGCTGGGGAGAGAGTAAGAGGGGGGATGGGGCATGCTTTGGGGAGGAGGCAGGGTAGAGGCGGGGTGGGGGTTTGAGGGAAGGGGTGAATTAAGGACAGTGCCTGGAGCCAAGGGGAGGATCGAGCAACCCCTGGCATACTTGAGAAGTGACACTCATTTAAAGCTAAGGGCATGTGTGAGGTGCATGGTGTTGCACACAACATTGAGAGAACCGGATGCTCCCTATGCTTCTTTGTTACTTTTGCTGGCAATTTAATTTGCCCTTAATAACGGATGACCTTGTGTTGAAAAGACATGCTACAGGAGGAGAACCAAGTGTAGTGTATTTATTCTTCTTCTTGTGGCATGGTTAATGCACGTGCCTGATTTTAATCTGGCAGTCCACTGAGATGAATGCTGCCCACTCATTAGCCTTGGTTGCCCATCGCTGTCTTACAGAGATGGAAGGCTAGTGCTTGTGCCACAATCGAAAGGAAAGCCCCATTGTGCCAGGTGCAATGCGCATATGGAGGAAGAAGTAGCAATTGGGAATGGAAAAGTAGAAATGAGTGAGGCAAGGGTGTCTCTTTAGTACGCTAATTTGCGAATGGGACTTATATGTTCTTTTAGATCTGTCCATCCTCCCATTGAGCAAGTCCTAAACTTGTCTTACTGTCAGGTTATAAAAACAATGAGGAGTCCTGGGCACATTAGTGTTAGAGACTAACAGATACATTAGGGCGTAAGCTTTCATGGGAAAAGCCCACTTCATCCGATGAACTGGAGTGGAAGTTATGGGATCAAAAAGAAGTTGCTTGTGTTAATGAAACGAATCAAGTCAGGGTGGAAGTGGGTCATTCACAGCATTTGGTGTGGAGATGTGCATATCCAGAGATGGAATATTCCCTTTGTAATGCATTAACCAGTTGAATTCTTTCGTTGTTTTTTGTGGATACAGACTACCACAGCTACCCCTCTGAAACTTACCAGGTTGCAGAAATGGCAAACCAGGCATGACAACCAGAAACATTTTTTTCAAAGCTAACACTTGCATTAGCTGAGCCTCTATTTATAGATTCAAGGAGGGAGAATGTGAAAACAAACCTACTGCCCATTAGACATTCAGTCACCTGAATATCTTTGGTTCTTTGTTGTAGAAAAACAACTCATTCATACTATGTACTCCTCTTAAAGGAGCGCAAGCAAATGAGCCCTGTGAATTCCAAGAGGCTTCTGTCGGCCAGGGCGTCCAGTATAAAGTGGTACCAAAAACCCAGCTGGCACATTTCAACCGCCAAAGCCTGCATGAGTGGGTGAAAGATTCCATCAGTATTTAGCAGAAATTCAAACAGCAGCTGGCTTCTGTTCCCATCCAACATGGTTTCTGGAGGGGTCTGTTGGTAGTGAGAGTTCTGTCCTTTATTCAACAAGCCCATTCCCTCCATCCCAAACATACCCTAAACCATCTCCTCTTATTCTGTATCAGAAGGCGTTACTCCACCCAATGAAGAAGATCGCAAGAAGATCATCAGGCAGATGAAGGTACGCACCACACTAAAAGAGGATAAGAGCTGGATCCACGCTCAAAACTCAGACAATGAGGAAGAGATGAAGAACAGCCCATTGTAAGTGGAGTTACCACTCCCCCATCCCAGCTTGCTGCCCTCCCGCTTCCTCCCCACCTGAATTCTGTGCTATTTTGGGAAGGTCCCTTTCTCAAACTCAGTGGAGCCATGGGACAATCCCATCAGAGTCAGGCTTTCCCTTAACGTAGTCTGAGGCTTTGTGACTGGCAGCGAACTCACAATTGAATGGACACCTTGCTTGTATTCACGTTTGATAGTTAAATGGAATGACCTTGCCAGGGAATCATGAACCCAGCAGCTTGGAGGAGTTTTTTGTCTCCAGGAGATGGCCACCTGCAAATGAGAGAGGAGCAACTGAATTCATGGAGCCACTGCTGCCCAATGCTCGTGCCCTCTGATTGCTGGCATGGCAAAAAGGAGCTGCAAAGCTGCCTGAAGTGGGCACATGGAGGTTGTCCCAAGTGGGGGAATCCTGGATGCTGAGTGGTGTGAAATCAACACAGCTAGCTCTCCAGTGCCCCCAGCTGTTCCCGGGGCAAAGTCTATTGCATGGAGCTTGGAACCATAGTCACTTACAGAGCCAGTATTTTATTAAGCTGCTTAATGAAAAACAAACAAAACCCTCCCTCTTCTCCAAAGGTAAGGCTCGCCAGAGCTGATGAAACCTGTGTGCATTAGCAGGCTGGCACCTGACCACAGGTTGCTCCATTTCCTCCCCCCCCTTCCCCCATTTGGATGATGAAGGTTCTCCGGCAGGGACATTTTTCCCTGCTTGGCCCTGTGGCCCATGTGGGAGGACGTTGATGGCCATGCAGTGTCCCTATCCTGAACACTGACTCTACAGCTCCCAGTAGCTGGGAACTGCAGCCAATGGAAGCTGCAGGGGTAGTTCCCCTCCCTCCCCAGGATTGCAGGAATGTGCTGGCAGCATCCAGAAGTGGTGCTGAGCCAGGGCAGGCAGGGAGTCTGCCTTTGCTTGCTACCTACCTTTGACATTGCAAAGGAGTACACAAGAATAAACATGAGGCTGCTTTGGGAGGGGCATTTTCAGTGCTTCCTGCAGCTGAAGGAGCTGGTTTCTCTATAGCGCTCCCATAGCTGGAGCTGGTTTTCCCTGTAAGGGCCAGTGGAGCTTGATCTCCCACCCCAACCCCATAGCTGGTGGAGCTCACTTTTTGTCCCAGCAGTCATAGGATTTGGATCTCCTGTGAAATTGGCAGTGTTCACCTAGAAGTGAAGGAGGAGGCATGGAGTCTGTTGCTGTTGAGGTTAGGGGAGAGCTCAGGAACTATGGTAATGAGGGTGATTGAAGTCCCTTGGCTGGTTGGCAGGTAGGTGGATAACATTTGTCAGCTCCCTAGGGCACTATCTGTCGTCTTATTCTGTTTATACAGTGCCCAGCCCAGAGGTCCTGGTCTGTGACTAGGACTCGGACCTGCTACTGCAGTACAACTAATTAATAGGTCAAGATTTCCAAGCATGTCTAGTGATTCTGGTTGCCCAACTTGAGACATGTTAAAAGGGGAGAGGCTTTCACCGAGGCCCAGATCCTCGAGGGTATTTAGGCTTCCAATTCCCACTTAAAGTACCTCGAGGACTTGCACCCCAGCCTCTACATATCACACCCTTTAAGGTATCTCAGGTTGAGCACCCAAACATCGAAGCACCTCAAATGACTAGACGCTTTGGAAAGTGCAGTGTGGCCATCCCTGTGCTGCTTGTCCTCTAGTCCTGCCCTTCAATGTCAGACATTTCTGATTCAGTATTTCACAGGTTCTTATGTCAGTCATAGAATCATAGAATAATAGGACTGGAAGGGACCTCAAGAGGTCATCGAGTCCAGCCCCCCGCCCTCAAGGCAGGACCAAGCTCCGTCTACACCATCCCTGACAGATGTCTATCTAACCTGTTCTTAAATATCTCCAGAGAGGGAGATTCCACCACCTCCCTTGGCAATTTATTCCAATATTTGACCACCCTGACAGTTAGGAATGTTTTCCTAATGTCCAATCTAAACCTCCCCTGCTGCACTTTAAGCCCATTACTCCATGGAAGAACTTTTCTTTATGCACCCTCTCCACGCCACTCATGCTTTTCATAGAATCATAGAATAATAGGACTGGAAGGGACCTCAAGAGGTCATCGAGTCCAGCCCCCCGCCCTCAAGGCAGGATCAAGCTCTGTCTACACCATCCCTGACAGATGTCTATCTAACCTGTTCTTAAATATCTCCAGAGAGGGAGATTCCACCACCTCCCTTGGCAATTTATTCCAATATTTGACCACCCTGACAGTTAGGAATTTTTTCCTAATGTCCAATCTAAACCTCCCCTGCTGCACTTTAAGCCCATTACTCCTTGTCCTGTCCTCAGAAACCAAGAGGAACAAATTTTCTCCTTCCTCCTTGTGACACCCTTTTAGATATTTGAAAACCGCTATCATGTCCCCCCTTAATCTTCTTTTTTCCAAACTAAACAAGCCCAGTTCATGAAGCCTGGCTTCATAGGTCATGTTCTCTAAACCTTTAATCATTCTTGTTGCTCTTCTCTGTACCCTTTCCAATTTCTCCACATCTTTCTTGAAATGTGGCGCCCAGAACTGGACACAGTACTCCAGCTGAGGCCTAACTAGTGCAGAGTAGAGCGGCAGAATGACTTCACGAGTTTTGCTTACAACACACCTGTTGATACAACCTAGAATCATATTTGCTTTTTTTGCAACAGCATCACACTGTTGACTCATATTCAACTTGTGGTCCACTATGACCCCTAGATCCCTTTCTGCCATGCTCCTTCCTAGACAGTCGCTTCCCATCTTGTATGTATGGAACTGATTGTTCCTTCCTAAGTGGAGCACTTTGCATTTCTCTTTATTAAACCTCATCCTGTTTACCTCTGACCATTTCTCTAACTTGCTAAGGTCATTTTGAATTATGTCCCTATCCTCCAAAGAAGTTGCAACCCCACCCAGTTTGGTATCATCTGCAAACTTAATAAGCGTACTCTCTATCCCAATATCTACATCATTGATGAAGATGTTGAACAGTATGGGTCCCAAAACAGACCCTTGAGGAACTCCACTTGTTATCCCTTTCCAGCAGGATTTAGAACCGTTAACAACAACTCTCTGACTACGGTTATCCAGCCAATTATGCACCCACCTTATCGTGGCCCTATCTAAGTTATATTTGCCTAGTTTATCAATAAGAATATCATGCGAGACCGTATCAAATGCCTTACTAAAGTCTAGGTATATGACATCCACCGCTTCTCCCTTATCCACAAGGCTCGTTATCTTATCAAAGAAAGCTATCAGATTAGTTTGGCATGACTTGTTCTTCACAAACCCATGCTGGCTATTCCCTATCACTTTATTACCTTCCAAGTGTTTGCATATGATTTCCTTAATTACCTGCTCCATTATCTTCCCTGGGACAGACGTTAAACTGACCGGTCTGTAGTTTCCTGGGTTGTTCTTATTCCCCTTTTTATAGATGGGCACAATATTTGCCCTTTTCCAGTCTTCTGGAATCTCCCCTGTCTGCCATGATTTTTCAAAGATCATAGCTAAAGGCTCAGATACCTCCTCTATCAGCTCCTTGAGTATCCTGGGATGCATTTCATCAGGACCTGGTGACTTGCTGACATCTAACTTTCCTAAGTGATTTTTAACTTGTTCTTTGTGTATCCTATCTTCTAAACTTACCCTCTCTCTGCTTGTATTCACTACGTTAGGCACACCTCCAGACTTCTCGGTGAAGACCGAAACAAAGAAGTCATTGAGCATCTCCGCCATTTCCAAGTTCCCTGTTACTGCTTCTCCCTCCTCGCTAAGCAGTGGGCCTACCCTGTCCTTGGTCTTCCTCTTGCTTTTAATGTATTTATAAAAGGTCTTCTTGTTTCCCTTTATGCCTGTAGCTAGTTTGATCTCATTTTGTGCCTTTGCCTTTCTAATCTTGCCCCTGCATTCCCGTGTTGCTTGCCTATATTCATCCTTTGTTAGTTGTCCTAGTTTCCATTTTTTATATGACTCCTTTTTTATTTTGAGATCGTGCAAGATCTCCTTGTTAAGCCAAGCTGGTCTTTTGCCATATTTTCTATCTTTCCTACACAGCGGAATTGTTTGCTTTTGGGCCCTTAACAACGTCCCTTTGAAATACTTCCAACTCTCCTCAGTTGTTTTTCCCTTCAGTCTTGCTTCCCATGGGACCTTACCTACAAGTTCTCTGAGCTTATCAAAATCTGCCTTCCTGAAATCCATAACCTCAATTGTGGTGGTCTCCCTTCTACCTTTCCTTAAGATCATGAACTCTATTATTTCGTGGTCACTGTCCCCTATACTGTCTTCCACTTTCAAGTTCTCAACTAGTTCCTCCCTATTTGTTAAAACCAAATCCAGAACAGCTTCTCCTCTGGTAGCTTTTTCAACCTTCTGAAACAGAAAGTTGTCTCCAATGCAGTCCAGAAACTTATTGGATAGCCTGTGCCTCGCTGTGTTAGTTTCCCAACATATGTCTGGATAGTTGAAGTCTCCCATCACCACCAAATCTTGGGCTTTGGATAGTTTTGTTAATTGTTTAAAAAAGGCCTCATCCACCTCTTCCACCTGGCTAGGTGGCCTGTAGTAGACTCCTAGCATGATATCACCCTCGTTTTTTACCCCTTTTAGCTTAACCCAGAGACTCTCTACACAGCTATCTCCTACGTTCATCTCCACTTCAGTCCTTTTAGCATGTCACAATTTGCAGGTTCTAACCCTATCTGTCAAAATTCCTTCTGGGTCCTCCAAGGGAGTGTTTCCCCAAACGCCTTCTCCAGCTGAACCATGGGCCTTTTCTACAGACGGACATTGAAATGTTAGTGTTAGTGTGACTCTGCTGTTGTCTGAGAGGCAATGTTTCCTTGATCCATTATCCCTTCATGTCTATTATATCTGTGGACTTACATTTGTGGTAGGAGTTTAATGGAGTATCAGCACAATTTTAAAAAAAGAATTAGATTCCTGAGAGAACCCTTTTTTAGCACAGCCTTAAATAGTGTAAAAACCCTTTTTGGAGTGATTTGTACACAATAGTGGCTATATGATCTTCAGAGGAGGATGTGAAATAGCATCATGGATTGCCACTGTTATGGCTTAGGACAGCACCAGAAACTCTGATCCACTGACAACCTTGCATCCTGTGGGTATTTCCCTGTAACACTTGATATTGTTGCTCCTGTTTCGTGCTTAAGAGTTTTTATTTCTGTTTCCTGTGTAGGTCGCCAGGTTCTAAGCCTACCTCCGGTTATCTCATCAGGTTAGTCTGAAGATCCTCATCCACTGAGTTAGCAATTCTGGGGCTGCAGGTGACAAAGGCTAGAATGGGAGAGGATAAAATGGGGGAAGTAGCAATGTCACCTGGGTTTCCATTCTGGTAGTGCCTGACTGTGGGATCCCCTGTGGATAGACATGTTTGGGTACTTGCTAAGCAGAGCACTGGCTGCGATGGGAAATCAGATCTCCTAGCCTGAGCAAAGAGGTGGTTATTTGGTAGGTGAGGGTATCAGGAATTTCCTCCCCTGTCCCTTGTAAACATCAGTGCGCTAGAAATGCAGAACACTGTGGGATTTACCTTCCATTGCAGCACTGGCTGTTGATCAGCAGTGGGCTTGGTCTGACAGAATCACGGATCCTGTATCGCCACACTCCCAAGTTCCCATGGAAGTTGGTTTTAAAGTGTTGACAACCATGGAATGTTTTCAACTGTTTCTAATCTAACATCTGGCCCCTAATATGAGAGATCAGCCCTTGCAAAGCCAAAACGTGAGGTGTATTCGCTTCCTCTCTCAATTCCACTAATCCTTTGGGTGCTGGACGAAGCCTGTATACATTCAGCATCTACAGAGCCATCGTGATTCATGGAATACACAGCTGGGCAGTGTCTCCCCATCAGGCTATACAGGAGCCATTGTAATAGACCAAGATCATAGTCATAGTGGTACTGGAAGCAATGAGAGTCCTGCAATCTATGTGGTAAATTTGCAGCTTAATAGATTAGGTGGGGAGACAAATTTGGGGCTCATGTTAGCATGATTCTCTCCTTTAGGATCTTTCTCAATGGCTCTCTCACCCTTTCTTCAGTCTACCTTCTAAGATGGCCCTGCATGTAACTACAGTTCTTCCCTTCCTATAGGGGGGTGTTCACTAGGACCATCGACAAGACTCCACCCAAGAGGACCTCCTACTCCAATGGCACACAGAAAAGGTTTGTTCTTCATACAAGACCTGCTTGGGGTTTTGGAATCTTCTGTATATGCTGGTGCCCAACGTTTGATTTCATATAAAGCCCATAGAGTCCCACAGATTTCCATTAAACTCTGGTGGATCCACTCCAACCACAGTCCAGAGTTCAAAGACAATTAAGCTTTTAATAAAGTAGAGACTTGGACACAACCGGCTGCATTTCGAGTACATTCAAAACTGCAAACTGTGATCCCAATTCTGAGGTTTAATGCTATGTCTAAACTGACACATTGTGGCATGTAGTAGAGAGGTTCATTTTGGCCTCCCATTGACCTTTGAGGAGATTGCCAGAAGTTGTCTGGAGTGGGAGCATTTTAAAAGTGCCCTTCTTTTTTTATCTCTGGGTGCTTGTACCAGTAATCGGGTGCTGATTAGAGCTCTTTGGGGTATGTAAGAACCTTAAGAAAATGTCCATGCTGGTTGTGATGGGCTCGGTCACAGAGATCCCTTTGAAACTGTCCCTTGATGTGCCGAAATACCACAGAGCTCTGAGATCCCTTTGAGACTGTTACTTGATGTGCTGAAGTATTACTGAGCCTGCCTACCTGCCCTTTGAGGTGCTCCACCATGCTGTCCTGCTGACCCAGACTCTCTGGTCTCCTTGAACAATGGCACAGAGTTGGGGGTCACAACTCACAGCAGAGCAACACAGACACTAAGATTAATTCAGCTCTGGGAAGACTCAGTCAAAGGGAGCTGACACAACCCCCCGGTTCAGAGCCCAGGTGGGACCAGAACCCCAGATTAATCCTTCTTATTCTGCATAAACTTTTATACAGGGCAAGCTCATAATTTGTTTGTCTCCTTTATCAATGAAAGAGTGAGATGCACAGCTGGTTTCCCTCCTCCAGGTAACAATTATTTACGCTGGGCTTAATAAGCAACCAGGATTTTATTAAGTATAAAAAGTAGGTTTTAAATGATAACAGATCAAAGTAAGTTACTAAAAATTAAAAACAAAACATGACAGATAAGCTTAATATGCTAAGAAACTTTTTACAAGTAAAATCACACCCTCAGGTTCTCTTAATCAGCTTTTTTCAGAGAGTGGACCCTGCAGTCTCTGACCAGGACAACTGAAAGAGACAATGTGCTCTCCATACAGTAATTGGCATGATCTATTAGGTCATTCACTTCCCCCTCCTCTTTTGGAACATTCTCAAATTGGCATGGGAAGGAGTCTGGTAAACGGTCACAAGGTCATGAGTGTCGCATTAATGAACAGAACTGTGTGTTATCTGCAGTGCTGCAGCTCAGGCACAGAGTTCCAGTCTCCCCTGCGTCTCCTCTGGATACAAGATGACAACTGAGGATTACAAGAAACTGTGAGTGTACCTGGAGAAGAAGTTCACTGCTTATCTGTGCAGTTGCCTGCATGCTGGAGCCACCTGCTCAGCCAGTCTGATCACTCAGCTTGCTGAACATTCCTCTTGCCCTTCACTTTAAAAGACATTACTGCCTGGCATTTCCCTGGGGCTTAAGAGGTGCCTCGCCCTGGTACTGGCCTGCATGGGGTGAATTTCACCCCTAGGTAATCCCTTTTGAGACAGGAGCCAGAGGCCTCTAAACTACCACGAGGGATGATTGCTTTGCAGTGTTTGTGGCCTGTCTGAAAGCAAGAAATGCAGAACTCTCATGTAAGGGTCTGCTGCCTGGACATGGTCTGACATTTCTCGCTCAGCATTCAGAAGTATCACATGTTGAGGCTCAAGTTGTAAATCAGAAAAGTGGGACAGAGATTTGTTTTCACCATGGCACATGGAAAACGAAAGTGCCTCTCACATGACTGAAGGACAGACTTTTAGTGCCCTCCTTTAGATGCTGCACTGACATCTATCCCAAAGCCATGTCATCTGCTTCATCTGTGCTCACCTGGCTAAGGCTGTTTCAAAATCTGTTATCCAGTGCCCATTGCTTTAGATTAATATAGCTCTCCTCTTTTCTCTTGGATTTAGGGCTCCGTTCAATGTCAGGCAAACATCAGTGGAGTCAGATGAAGAGGAACAATCTTTTTCCATAGATGAACATAAAAAGAGGTACAGACTGTTGCAGCCTGTATCATTTCATGCAGGGACTCAATGAATACAATGGAAAATACCTTTACATCTTATCTACCAGCATTATGATTCTAGGTTGTATCAACAGGTGTGTTGTAAGCAAAACTCGTGAAGTCATTCTGCCGCTCTACTCTGCACTAGTTAGGCCTCAGCTGGAGTACTGTGTCCAGTTCTGGGCGCCACATTTCAAGAAAGATGTGGAGAAATTGGAAAGGGTACAGAGAAGAGCGACAAGAATGATTAAAGGTCTAGAGAACATGACCTATGAAGCCAGGCTTCATGAACTGGGCTTGTTTAGTTTGGAAAAAAGAAGATTAAGGGGGGACATGATAGCGGTTTTCAAATATCTAAAAGGGTGTCACAAGGAGGAAGGCGAAAATTTGTTCCTCTTGGTTTCTGAGGACAGGACAAGGAGTAATGGGCTTAAAGTGCAGCAGGGGAGGTTTAGATTGGACATTAGGAAAAAATTCCTAACTGTCAGGGCGGTCAAATATTGGAATAAATTGCCAAGGGAGGTGGTGAAATCTCCCTCTCTGGAGATATTTAAGAACAGGTTAGATAGACATCTGTCAGGGATGGTGTAGGTGGAGCTTGGTCCTGCCTTGAGGGCGGGGGGCTGGACTCGATGACCTCTTGAGGTCCCTTCCAGTCCTATTATTCTATGATTCTATGATTCTATGTGTCTCAGGGTTATGAAAATTTTAGCTGAGCCATTGAGCCTGACCGCAGTCAGAACAAAAATGCATTTTTATGTAGAGCACATCAATGCCTCAGGTCTAGGGCTCCTAACGGAATATAACAAAAAGTCTGATGTGATTCAAAATGACAGCATGGCCCAGCTAATTTCCTGGCTAGTGAAAGGAGATGGGGAACCCATCAGCTACATTCTGTCCATGTGAATGGAGGGAAAGAATGGTGTAAAGATTCAGAAATATCTAGGGTTGCCAGGTGGTTTACCAAAAATACCGAACACCCTCCTCCCGCCCCCCCCCCCCCCCCAAAAAAAAAAAAAACACCAGGGAAAAAATTCTGTTGAGGAAAATAAAAGGAAAGCAAAAAAACAGCATGGCCCCTTTAAGAAAAGTCCTTAGTCTTTCTGCTGGTGGCCATCTTGTTTTCTTGATTGGAGCCAGAAGGCAGCTTCCTTGTGGAACCAAGTAAGCAGGGGAAGGGGAGGAGGGCTTGGGCTGGGCCTGGTTGCTGAGTGTGTCATAGGGTTGCCAGGTGTCCGATATTTTCGCCTCCTGTCTGGTTAAAAAAATCAGAAAATACCGGACATTTTAGGTGTCCAGTATTTTCTGAATTTTTTAACCAGACAGGAGGCGAAAATACTGGACTGTCTGAGCCAATTCTGGACACCTGGCAACCCTAGAAATATCCTGGGAATAAAGTGAGGACCTCACTTTTTGCAACTAGCTCCACAACTCTAAACCTGAACATTTTTGCATTTGGATCCACATTCAGATCTGAACTTCCATAGCTCAGGTCCAGCTTTAGCTTTCACATCACTTCCTCTGTAATGTGGGACTTGCTGCAAAACAGCCTCAGAAGCCGCAATCAGAGTTCATGATACTTGAAATAATATTTTCAGAAGTGCCTTTTGGGACACCACTCCTACCCATCCTGGCTAATAGCCATTGATGGACCTACGCTCCATGAATTTATCTAGTTCTTTTTTGAACCCTGTTAAAATCTTGGCCTTCACAACATCCTCTAGCAAAGAGCTCCATAGATGGACTGTGGTGTGTGAAAAATACTTCCCTTTGGTTGTTTTAAACCTGCTGCCTGCTAATTTCATTTGGTGACCCGTACTACTTGTGTTGAGAGGTAGTAAATAGCATTTCTTTATCTAATTTCTTTATACAGTAATTCCTCATTTAACACTATAGATATGTTTCAGAAAATGATCGTGTTAAGTGAAAATGTGTTATGCGGGGTCAATTTTCCCATTGAAAATAATGGAAAAGGTGGGGGTCGTGTTTCAAGCGGTGGTGTCTGTTGGGACCGGGGCATAAGGTTGGGAGAGAAAGGGGACTGGGTTACAGCAAGGAGGGGAGATGTTTGGCTCTCGAAGGGAAGGAGAGGGGAGGGAGATTGGGTTGGGAGTATGCCCCTGTGACGGGTCTGCCGGGACCCGCACTGCGTCTGGCGAGGTGGGAGGGGTCGCTGGGGAATGGCGCGGCGAGCGGCGAACCCTCCACCGCTTTGCAGGGAGGTGGGGAAAGCCCCGCACAGCTGCTGGCAATGGGCTGGCTGGGAAAAATCGTGTTATTCCGGGGACGGTCGTGTAATTAAAAAAACATCCCTAAAATAAATCGTGCTATCGTGAAAACGTGTTAAGTGGGCACATGTTAAATGAGGAATTACTGTACCAGGAAAAACTTAAACAACAAACAGTCTAGTAGCACCTTAAAGGTTTACAAAACATATAGATGATATCATGAGCTTTTGTGGACGCAACCCACTTCTTCAGATGACAGTAGTGAAGGAAATTTCTTGGGTCTGGACTTCCTACACTCCGATCATCTGAAGAAGTGGGCTGTGCCCAGAAAACTAATGATACCATCTACATGTTTTGTTAGCCTTTAAGATGCTACTAGACTATTAGTCTGTAACAGGAAAAACTTAAACAACAAACTTGGCTACCCCTCTGCAGTTATTTATACCAGTCATGATTTATAGATTTCAATCATATCTCCCCTTAGCTATCTCTTTTCCAAGTCGAAAAGTCCCTGTATTAATCTCTCTGCATACAGATGCTATTCCATACCTCTAATAATTTTTGCTGCTCTTTTCTGAAGCTTTTCCAATTCCAGTACATCTTTTTTGAGATGGAGTGACCACATCTGCATGTAGTATTCAAGATGTGAAAGTACCATGGTCTTATAAAGAAACAATATATTTTTGTCTTACCTGTCCCTTTCTTAATGATTACCAGCATCTTGTTTGCTTTCTCCATTCTGAAAACTGGCCATTTGTACTTTGTTTCCTGTCTTTTAACTAGGTATCAATCCATGAGAGATCTTCCCTCTTATCCCATGGCAGCTTACTTTGCTTAAGAGTCTTTGGTGCTGGACCTTGTCAAAGGCTATTTAAAAATCTAAGTACACTATATCCACTAGGTTCCCCTTGTCCACATGCTTGTTGATTTTTTATTTTTTAAGATTCTGGTAGAATGGCAAGGCATGATATCCCTTTACTAAAAACATGTTGATTTTCCCCTGTCATTTATGTTCATCTATGTATCTGACAGTATTTTTTATTATAGTTTGAACTAGTTTGCCCGGATTCTGTTTGTTTGGCATATTTCACCCATAGCACAGAGCTATAGACATACATGGCACAGTATAAATAGTATGAAGCCTGGATTTGATATCTGGCTACCAAAGGGATGGGTACAGAATGAATGGACAGAGAGGCCATTCTCTCTACCCTTGGCTCTTGCTTGATTTATGCTTTTTTTTTTTCAAGTGAGTCTCTGATACAAGCCTTCAGTGACTTGTTCCACTTCAGTCCCCTATCATTTCAGCCTCCTTTTTCCCAGCCCCATCACTGGAATGTGCTCTCTTCCTTTCCTTCCAGGGCAGAGGCAGCCAACAGTGTACTGAGGCGCACAGCGAGCAGGGAGCGCTCTTATGTCCTCTCTGCTGCCAAGAAAAGCAATGGGTGAGTCTCATGGGAGGAGAGAACAGAAAGGGCAACTATTAGCAAATGTCTTCCTGGGACTTAATGGGTCTGATCCACTGGATGCAATGTGAGTCTTTCCATTGGCTTCTATGGGCTTTGAATCAAGTTCTGAGTGAAGTCCAAGGACTTGCAAAACTGGGCACATTCATTGAAGGACCTTCAAAGTGTTTCTCATCCAAGAGGAAAAGGAGACAAAGCAAAGAAACATAGCCCAAAATCTTTGAAAAAACATGATTCCTAACTGCCTAGAGCCCACAAGACGTGTATTTTTGGGCCTGGCTGCTCAGAACATCCCAAACACCTGCTTTCTCCCGCCCAGCTTTATTGAACCAGGGAAAGAAGGCGGGGGGGGGCCGAAGGAGCTTGTAAACATTAGCATAGGCCACTCCAATCATTCATGAAGAGATTAGATTCCAAGCAGGATTTGTGTTCAGTTCATATAAGCTCCTTGGGGCATGGACTTTCTTTTATCATATATTGTGAGGCCCTCATCTCACCTGGAGTTCCTGTAACAGTAGTTGTCCAACTAGGCAAGAGATGCTGCTGGTGGAGGAGGCTCCTCTATCCGCCTCTCACCTAAGGTTATAAAGATCAGTTCCACTGATCAAAACAACATTGATCTCCCATTGATGAGTGACTAATGTTTACAACTTAGAAAGCTAACTCAGGGTGACACAATGAGGTGACAGGGAGATTAGCAGTACCTGTGAGGTTATGGGAGAAGCCAGGAAGGAATGTGTCACAGCAGTGACATAAAGTGGCATAATTCACACAAGGGCAATAGGATAGTGTACTTTGCACTGATTTAGAATTCAGCTGGTGTGCAAAACAAATGCCATATTATGTGCCAAGGAAGAAGGATTTTGTGTGCAGCAAGAAAAAACTACTAAAAGGAAGGTGTAAAATAAGAGGTGGTGACTTTATTTTGCACCTGATCAGAGGCTGCTTTCACTGCTTAGGTGTGTAAGTCACATTGATTTTTACATACCCGCTCACTGCTAAATCTGTGTAAACTGTATTACGTGACCCTATATGTAAAATAACTTCTTCGTGTCTGTTGCATTTATCTCACCACCTCTTATGAGAATTGCCCCCATGCCAGGTCTGAGTTTGTCCACTGGCTTTATATAATCTTTGCTTTTGCACCTCCTTTATAGAAGCCCAACTCAAGAAGTATCACCCTTCATTGCCAAGAGGTAAGTCATGGATCTCTGCCCCTAAAATTACAGTAGAGTCCTCTTCTGTGCTACCATCTCAGTGTAAGAGTTTTTACTAAGGACTAGGGTTGGAATTTCCATTTGGTGTGAAGTTAGAGGCAGGGAAAATGGCTAGATGGGTTGGACCGATCCATTTGGGCTGACTTATACTAGCACAGGAAAGCTCCTAGTGGGATGAACAAAGTGACTTAGGCTATGTCTACACTGACATTTTGGCAGTACATTTTGGTTTTGTTCAGGGATGTGAAAACCACCCCTCTGAACGACAAGAGTTTGAACAATGAAAAGTGCAGGTGTGGACAAGGCTTTGTTGGCGGAAGCTAGGCGCTCAGTCATAAAGCTACTTCTCCTCGTTGGAGGTGACTTTGTATTTTCTTCAGGAGATAGTGGCTACATGGTGCACCTCACCACGGTGCAGCTTTCGTGGTGTAACCGTGGGTGGGCTAGACTTCACTGGGAAACCCCACTTCCACAGCAGTACTGGAGACCCAGAGTTTAGTCTGGAGGGAGTTTCAGCAAGGATGGCCCAGTGTCAGCCTCCCTACATTCAAGTTCCAAAAGAAACTAAAGTAATGAATTTAATTAAATAACTTTATAAAATGTTATGAAGAAACAAATAATCGAATTCTTACACAGAGCACAGCTATTTTAAAACCCACAAATAATGTCTCTCATACAGTAGCCCAATGTCTGTGACTCTGTAACGCTGACAGGCTGGCTGTTGCCTCTGGGCGGTGCTGTTGCCTGAGTCACGTCCTTCGCCTCCCACCGTGCTGCTCGGCTGACTTCTGCGCTGCTAAGCCAGGCTGCCACGGGGGAGCAAGCGGCCGTTTGGGCTCCGCGGTCCCCCAAGAGAGAGGCAGGAGGGAGAGGAGAAGAGGGGGAGAGAGGCAGGAGGCAGAGGAGAGCTGAGAGAGATGGCGGGAGGGGGGGAGGCGGCAGGAGGAGGAGAGAGAGATGGACATGGAGGAGAGACCCGAAAATCCCATCTTATGATGGGCTATTGGCTAGTAATTACAATAAACATAAAGTGAAAATTGAACAGTTCAATCCACATAAATACAGTAAGAAAAGGCTGAGAGGTCCCAAGAGCTTAGATTTAGTTCACCAAAGTCTGTGTGCGCCTCAGATATCAAATCTGCACCATATGCTGAGTCTGAAGTGTTTCTCCACTTGCTTGTAGGGAATCCTCAGTTGGAGTCCAGACAGACTCTTCCTCTGCTATGGTCACTGGTAGACAATCAGCTCACTGATAAACTAGTCAGTTAGCTCACAAGTGAACAGCCTTAAAGAAACCCTATTACAAGAAAATACCAAAAAACCCCACATTTGAGAATAACAAAATAGAAATGACTCTTCCCCATTGCTACATTTACAGAGGAGCGGAAGAATCACAGGGACTGAGAAAGTGAACTAGATCAGTTTGACTAAAATCAAAAAAATATTTAAAGCAGACAATTAACACACAAGTTATTTCCCCTCCTAGCTCTAAGTAGCATTGCCCTGATCCCTGGCAGAGGGTTAACAACATCACTATCTGCTGCAGAGTAAGGAGCAGCAGCCAGTTCTCTGCTCCTGGTTTAGCTTCTTCCAGCTCACACAGGCCTTAGAAAAGCATCTGCCCTGCCTGCTTGCTCATGAAGTGTGACCCCAAACTATTGGGCCCAACTCCAGAAGCTTCTGGGTAGAGTGCTGAATCTGCCCAGCAACAGTAACACTCAACTCGCTCCTACCTCTTCCCTCCCCGACAGGGAGCTCCCTATTAAGTACATGGGTTACTGTGGCACAGCTGCACTGTTGTAAGGTGTGAAGTGAAGACATAGCCCTACATATTGAATTGGAAGATGACAATTGTGGATTGTCAGGAATCCTGGAATTAGCGACTTCCTTTCCTCTCTGAGAAGAGATGGGTCCCCGCAGTCATCACCATTGGGCTTTTAAATTCCCAAGGGCAGTCAGTCCCACACAGAGAAATGCTTACCAGGTGAGGGTAAGGGCTCAGTTAACATATTCATTGTGAAGTCCAGCCTTAGTGCTCCAGGGACTGAATTAAAGTTTGGCCCTAGGATGAGCAGAGAGAAATTCTTCAGCATGAGGGGAGACACAATAAAATGTTTGAACAAATGTATGTACACGTGTAGAATGTGTCTTTATTTTTCATCCTGAAAGGGTTGAGATTGAGGAGGAAGGAGGACCACGCATGCAAAGTCAGACCCTTCCAGCTTCGTCGCGGTTCAGTCCTGGTGGTAAAAGGTAGCGTCCCTGCCTCTGGATTCCTTTGTGTGCATTCGGATGGGGTCCATTGTCAAGCTTGTCTTCCTGTTTGACACTGAAGATAGTTGCTGGTGAACGGTGACAGTCTTTCTGACTATAGTTGATGAGGAATGGTTCCCAGAAGAGTTTTACTAGAAGAAGCACCAAGGATGGCCTTGGTTGGAGATGGGATGCTGGGCAGCATGGGCCAGGGTTCTGAGGTGACACTGGGCATTTTATTTCTAAAATAGTTGGCTGGCTTACATGCTCAGGGTCTAACTGACCACCAGACCAGCCAATGGGGCAAGGGTGGGGTCAGAGGATGTAGTTACCTTGGGGCCCAATGATACAAAAAAGCAATGTGCTCTGCGCAGCTGAGGGATGCCACAGGTGGGAAGGGGAATGCTATGGTTTGCTCCGAGTGGCACTGCGAGCTGACAGCCGCCAAGCCCTTCTGCCCAAGACCCCAACCCTTACCAGGAGTGCAGTACCTCTTTCTCCCCTCTCCCCCCGCCTCCAGTCAGCATATCTGGAGTCATGAAGGAATTCTCTCCCAGCTAAGCTTGGCAGTGACCTTGGATGTGTTTTGCATTGCAAAGATGCAGTTCACTTGCCAGGATTACCTGGGTATCTCACTTCATCATTTCCCTGCCACTGCAGGGGCTTGGGCACCAGTGCACTTCAGTCCCTTCTATTCTCTGCCTATTGCAGGTAATAGTCTAGCTTTTTGTGGGTGTCTCTTACTTTGTTCTCATTCTGGACTTAGTGTGTGGGTGCTGGGTGGTGCTGGTAGCCTGCATTCTATGGGAGGTCAGACTAGAGCAGGGGTGTCCAAACTTTTTTCAAAGAGGGCCAGATTTGATGAAGTGAACATGCGTGAGGGCCGACCATTGTGCCTGACATTCTTTGAACCATTAAAATTAAATGCAAATGAACTATTTTATGCAAAGTTTATTGCAAACGGCATACTTTTCATTTCGTCACATGGCTGACAAATCTAAACAGGTGTTAAATCACTCTGCCTTTCATATCTGAAGGCCAGATGAAAAAAAAATCCAGGAAGCTGAAATATGTCAGGAACATTGTAAAGTACATGACATATTATTGGTAATAAAGGTTGTCTGTCAACTTTTAAGTTCAAAAAATATGAACAGGAACATAACACCAAGTATACATGTTGTGTCCAAATATATTTAACTGATTTAGACCAACTGACATTAACTGAGATTTTACAATGTATTCATCTCAATACATATGGATTCGTTGGGGGCCATAAAAGATAGATATTGCCAAATTACCTGTGGGGCCGTATTAAACCGGAACACGGGCCACAATTGGCCCGCGGGCCGGACTTTGGACATGCCTGGACTAGATGATCTAGTGGGCCATTAAACTCTATGATGTCCTTGGCTTTTCCTGGGGCAATGCAAACTTCCCCCAGTGCACCATTATTTCTCTCTGGTTTCAATCTCTATGGCCCATTTAGTCTTCATGGCATCTCAATGAGGAGCTCATCTACCACAGTGATAAGTGATATAAATTCTAGAGAGACAGACAAGCTAAGAAGTCAGTGCTAGTTCTGATGGGCTCACCAACCCTTTGAACAGCCATCAGATGGTAACAGTTTTCCTAATTAGCAGCCTTGGCTTGATGAACTGAGTCAGTTCTCTAGCTAATTATTTCAAGCCCACTAAGCCAACTGCCTTTTGTTGAACTTTAAAGTAAATTAATCTACCCTGACAATGGTAGCATAACATAGGTCTGATCTGCAGGACTAGAGCTCTTTATTAGTTTTCAATTGACTTTTTTTTTAAACCGTAGTAGTAAATGTCACCCTAACTTCTTAAGAGCTCTGTATAAGCTAAAAGCTTGTCTATCTCACCAACAGAAGTTGGGCCAGTAAAGATATTACCTCCCCCATTTTGTGTCTCTAATACTCCGGGACCAACATGGTTACAACACTGCATACTTTAATTTGAAACATCCGACAAACATTGCACTGAAAGTCCACCATTGTACAAAAAGGGTCATTATAACTGTAAATGAGCTACTGTACTCAGATCCAATGACCAGCTCCATCCAATTTAAAAGAGCTGCAGTGTCAGCCTTCTGCAATCTGTGTTGTGAAGAAAAAAGTTGGCTAAGGAGGAAAGAGTAAAAGACTTGTGGAAGGGGAGGCTTGTCTGTCCTCAGAGGGGAAAAACACGGTGATTTCCCCATGGTCTTTTCCAGTTTAGAATGCTGCTGTACCTTTCTCTTTAACAGGGATGTTGTTCCAGATACAAGCGTTGTTTGCATTTCTGCTGTTCTTAAGCCTAGTGGCTATGGACAACAGAGAATCCAGGAGCTATAGCCTTTCTGGTTAGAGGACTGTGTCTGCGGGGATGAAGTAATTACATCATTAGGCTATGATGTATTCTCATGACAATACCGACGAGGAGTCCTGTGGCACCTTATAGACTAACTGAAGTGTAGGAGCATAAGCTTATGCTCCTACACTTCAGTTAGTCTATAAGGTGCCACAGGACTCCTCGTCGCTTTTGCAGATTCAGACTAACACGGCTATCCCTCTGATACTTGATCTCATGACAATAGGATCCAGGACTCTAACTGGAGTTTCTTTGGGAAATATTTCTCTCTCGTATCCCCATCCCAATATTTCCACCAGGAAAATGATTTATTTTATTTAAAATGTATTGGATTTTCATCTAAATACTTTCTGCTTTTATTTATTCAGTGACCCCCTTCCTCAAAGAAATTGAGTGACATTTCACATATTTTTCCTGAAGAAAAGTTGTTGAATCAAAAAAATATATGTTCAGTTAATACAGTTAGGCAGAAAACTTTCTTGTCATCTGTCAGGATTGTTCCCCACTCTGGCACTCTGAGAACAGAAGGTGGGGGTCCGCAAGAGATCTTAAAAATACCTTGCCTCTATAGGCTTCTGCTTACAAAAACTCCCCAAGATCACAGATTCACTAGCCCTGGGAGATAGGCTGCCACCATCAAGTGAACTAAAGCCCTGAAAAACAGGACAAAACACTTGGAAGTTCTTCCTGAGGGGTAGCCCTAAGCTCTTTTACCATAAGAGAGCTTGAAAAAAGAAAAAAAATCACAGAAAACAAACTTCAGTCTCTGATAGCTACCCTCTCAGTCTAGGCAGGCACATACACAGATCTCTTGTTACTTTTCAGGACACAAATATCAAATCATTGCCTTGAAAAAAGGTAATTTTTGTTAACAAAACAAAAAGATATAGTTAACAAAACATACTTGGTTGCTAGGTGTTAGTACGACTGAGAAGAACAGATTAAAACACAAAGAAACGTCGTCTCTTTGGGATGCAGTTTAGATACAGTGAATGGGGAAGGGAAGGCACATGGATTTCACACAGCAAAGGTTAACCAAACAACAAAACAAGAAAATAACCTGATCACAACTAATACACATTTCCCCCTATTTACTCACGATCCCTTCACGGTCCAGTCCATTTCTATGCTCAGTATTCTTTGGAGACATGGTAGACCTGCCTTGATTTAAATCATTCTGTTTCTCTCAACTCCTTGCTTAACCCACAAAGAGAAACGGTAAACAGATAATCTTTACCATTCGAATTTCAACACTATCATATATCATATCT